TGAAATTCTTATTTCTCACATAAAAAATAATGATTTTATAACTTTCATTGCCTTTTAAGAAGATATTTTATTGCAATGAATGAATGAACAACATTAGCAAATAGGGGGTTCTTGGTAGAGAATTACCCTTTTTTATTGATAGAGAATTACCCTTTTTTATCCCACTTCCAAATTCTGCCATCTTCCTCAGAAGCAATAGGCTGAAACTGCTTGAGCTGAAGTAACATGTCTTCAAGGCTCTCAATCTCCCAGTCAAAGAGATTTCTTCTGAAAATAGGAGACCAGGTGCCATTACTGCTGTCAGTAGAGAAGACCTCAGCTACAGTTGCCTCTTTATTGACAGCTACATTAAAGAGACTGGAATAATAATCTGCCAATGCTCTGTGGGGTGTGGAAAGGGATCTATAAAGCTTATCCTCAGTTTGTGAAAGGAATTAAATATAAGGTTGGGAATGGTACCACACTGAATTTTTTAAGTGACATTTGGTGTTCTGACATCCCATTGAAAGAGTTGTTTCCAGAGTTATTTCTTCTGGCTTCTGATAAAGAAGCTTACGGTAACTGATTGCTATGTTGTTTCTGGAGATTCTCTTGTCTGGGTTGCCTCTTTCAGAAGAGATTTTAACGATTAGGAGATTCCTTAGGTGGCAGAGTTGTTGTCAAGGCTGCAAGGTATAAGGTTAAACCCTTGGCTCCAGATCAGCGTTGTTGGGGATGGTCCAAGTCTGAATCCTTTTCAGTTAAGTCCTTAAATACTGGTTTGGAGCCTGCCACTCTAGATGCTTTCCCCAGTCAAATTGCCTGGGGTGGTCTGGCCCTCACTAAGGTGAAATTTTTTGTTTGGGTAGCTGTTGGAGAAAAGTGTTTGACGAAGGCTTTGTTGGTTAGAAAAGGGTTATGTCTCTTGTGTCTTACGCGGTAAGGGGGAAGAGACTTCCAACCACTTGTTTCTCCACTGTGAGTTCTCACCGAGAATCTTGACACATTTTTTCAAGGCTATTCAGT